AGAGGCGTAGCTCAGCCCCAGAAGACCCTGCCAGTACTTTCTGCACCAGGGGTGGCTGACTAATGTCACTGTGGTGCTGGGCCAGGAGAAGTAAGTACAGAAGAGAACCAGTGCAGTAACCATCCAATACTAGACACAGCATCAGCAGACATAAAGAAATACCTTCATGACCTTATATATGAATTTAAAACTGTACTTCTGATGGAAGTGAGGCAAGATATAAAAAGATTAATTAAAGAAATGATAAGCCCTCCCCCCCAAGAGAACACAGCTGGAAGAATGGAGGAAGTCAGAAAAGAAAGAGAAACCTTTGATGAAGAATTTAAACATAAACTAGAATACATGAAACAAATCCAAAGAGATTACCAGGAAACTAAAAACTCCATTGAAAACTGGCAAAATACCTTGACAGCAACTAAAGTTAACCTTTTGAAACTTGAAGAGAGATTTATGATATATGATTGCAAAAGAAAAGACCTCTTAAAAATAATGAGGAACCAGAAAGAAACAATTCAAAGGCTAGAAGACGACAAAAGGATACATGACTTAAGAATAAAGCATGTGAGTGAGGAAGCAAGAGTAAGCAAAAATGAACTACAATGAATATTCACAGGTATATTAAAGGAAAACTTCCCAAGCATAGGAAAAAGAAATGATATCCAGATAAATGAGGCATACAGAACTCCAGTTATCTACAATCAAAACAGATATACACCCAGATAATAATGTAGATTCCAGAAATCCACCTAAAGAACAGAATACTAAAAGTAGCCAGGGAAAGGAAACAATGGAAAAATTATCAAAATAACAACAGATTTATCAATACAAACTCTCAACTGAGAAGATCCTGGGGGGAAATAGTCCAAGCCCTGAAAGAAAATAATTTGCAACCAAGACTGATGTACTCAGAAAAACTCTCTCTCAAAATTAATGGAGAAATAAGATGTTTCCAAGACAAGGAGGAACTGTGGGAGTTCATGGCCACCAACCCAACCCTACAAAGAATGCTGAAGGACATTCCAGAGAGAGAGAGGAAGGGATACCAGGATTCCAGCAACAGTGGCAGAGGGGCCTCAATGAACGGGGCAAATAGTGGAATGAGGGAGTAGGGTGGACAAACTATAGCAGTAAAGTGGAGTAGCAGACACGAGGCAGAGATGGTAAGCTATAATCTTTAATATAGATAGCCTTGATACACTAAAATAAAAAAAACAGGCAGAGTAGATTAGGAGACAGGCTCCATGGAGATGCTCCAAATGGGAAATACATTCAACCCGAAAGAGGGTTAATGAACTGAAAGTCAATGATGAGAAAGCAAAGCTATATGTGACAGGAAACCAGAGAGAAATAGGGACAACTCATCTAGCAGCTGCAGATAGATTAGAAATCTATGACACTTTTGGGCAGTGTAGAACTACACAGCTGGAAGGAAGGAAAACCCTATGACTTTAGTGAGTAAAGGAGTACAGCTCAAGATCAAGCTCAGTGGTTGAAAGGTTCAGCAACACTCAGATAGATAATGGGCTGGCCCCATAATCTAAAAACTAAAGGGGCTAGTGAGACCCAAAACATACAAAGCATCCTAACAAGGGGAAAGGTGAAAAATAGCTAAAAAAGGAAGGCAGAGGACATTGTTAATAGTGTATCAGGATCTAAAAGTCACAGTAGTCTTATTGCTCTGTTTAGTTTGATTTTATTTTGTTCTGGTTTGTCCACTAACATTAGATTTGAGGACACAGATGTCTAACCCCAAAATAGCAGGTTATACCATGGTAACTATCCTGAATTTCCTATTAACTGAAACTGAAACCCTGTATTACTTACATTGTCTTACTATGACTGATCCTAGTTGAATCTAGTTTGTTAGACTGCAGTTTTTCCTTGGCTGATTTTATACGAATTTGGTATGCTTGATAGTATCAAGTATGAAGTACAGGCAACTACTCTGAAGATGACAAGATGTAAAGGACATCCATACCAGTTTTGATTATTAACTGCTCTCAAGTCCTACAATGTTTTCAAAGTTGCATTTTTATAAAAAGAGCTGTGTAATACTATACTTAACTATATCAAGCCTGATGATGTGGACAAGTCTAGTGAACATAACAAGAGAAAACATAGTAACTATGGTAGATCACCTAATATTGTGATCTCATGTGTCTTTTTCATTGTATGTTTTTCTAGGAATTTGTTTTGTCTTGTTATGATCTGTTTTTCCCTATAATACAGAGAGAATAGATATACATGTAGAAATTCACACATGAGAAGATTTTTTAAACCTTTTATGGGAACAGATTATATAATGCAAGATATAATGAACAGATACTCTGAATAAGAAGAGACACTAAGAAACCCAATGCTAATTCTGTAACATTATGATATAAAATCTAGCAATACTATTAGTCACTGTTCAGAGTGATATTAGTCTAGTCTCTTAAGTTCAATTTCAGCATATATAAAGATAAGGACAGCTGCTTTGAAGAGAATGAGAGACATTATGGTAGTCATTATTAACTTCCCCAAAGTCAGATCTTGAAGACCTAAAAAGCCTTCATCATCCTGTAATGATTTGATTAGTTTTATAATATGCAGTGTATATTCAATGTGTGTGAAGATGGGGACAACTATTTGGAAGAAAACTAGAGACAATAAGATAGACAGTGAAGATCTCCAGTGGACTTGCTTTGAAATCTGTATTTCTTTAAATTGTTTCTTTATGAACTGTTTTGTTCTGTTTTGATATGTTTACTCTTACCCTCTTTAAGATAACAAGTATGTTATTTTACTGATAACCATATTACTAAGTTTTTGTTGGATCATTGAACCAAACTGTTGGCAATGTCACTATTTGAATGTCACTTTGTATGCTTTAATTTTGTAACCTGAACAGCTATTTCTAAGACGACAACATGTAACATCAACTAGTGATTTCTTACTGTTTATTTTTCTGTAATTCTGTATTATTTCTACCTTTTTTCTCTATTTTTTTGTTTCTTTCTCTTTAAATAATAAAAAAATAAAAAAAAAGAATCAGTTGGTTAGCTGCGCATGGTGGTGCATGTCTATAATATAGAAGTACAGCACTCAAGAAGGTGACACAGGAGGACTGTTGTGAGTTCAAGACCAGTCTGGGCTACAAAGTGAGCACAAGGCCAGCCTGAGCTTCAGAGTGAGACCTTGTCTAAAAAATGGCAAAAAAAAAATCAGTTGGTTATGAATATATGAGAGTGTGTTGAGGATGTATATTCCATTCCATTGCTCTGTCTCTGTTTTTATGCCAATACTAAAATATTTAATTATATCTATGTATTATAACATATATAAATATATACTATAGCATATAAATATATTATAGTTTTGTAATATGTACTGTATGCAAGCATTGTGATAACTCTAGCTTTCCTCTTTTTACTCAAGATCACATTGGCTATTCAGAGTCTTTAGTCATTTCACATGAACTTCAGGAATAGATTTTCTAATTTACATGGAGAATGACATTGGTATTTTTATAGTCCTTATATGCAATTTGTAGATTTTTTGTGTAAATTGCCATTTTAACAATTTTATCCTTTCCAGACCAGAAATACAGGACATATTTCCATTTATTTGTATCCTCTTTTATTTCTGTCACTGATATTTTGTAGTTTTCATAGCAGGGATTCACTAAGTTGTTTCTTATATTTTGTTGTGGATTAAAAGTGGTCAAGTGGAAAATGAGGCAACTTAATAATATAGATAAGAATGCAAAGTACTAAAGTACTTACATAATAAGAATTCTTTTTCCTCTATCAGTTTAAGAACTCTATTTAACCAGGATGCAGGTAGAGTTTAAGAAGGAAATGAAATGTGTAGGAGAAATCTGGTTAGATTACTTAGGCAAATTATAAAAAATGGAGATTGTACAAGCTATGTTTGATATGACCACCACTGGTCTTATTTTTAACTGTTTCTTATGTGATGAATGCTACTAGTGACAATTGTTTTAGGTTTATACAACTGACATCACTTCATAATCATATAGTAGTTGTTGGTTTAGTACTTGCTGATTTACGATGATGGCCATAGTACTTACTTGTGTGCCCTTGTGCTTGGGAAGCAAATGTTTTACCTGGATGAAAGACAAGTGGGGCACTGAGGAAAATACAAAGGTGGAATGTGTTGAATATGTACCCTTTATTCCTCTAGCTATACTCTATTTTTTTCTTACCATGGTCTCATAATTTTCGTGGATTATACCAACAAGCTTCCTTATCTTTCAGTTAGTGTCTAAGTTTATCCGTGGGAAAGAATACAGTTTGACTATTTATTACTGCCAGCTACTTTTTTTGTAGGGTCAAATAAATCTAATTGTGTTCATTAATAGAATATCACAGTTCTTTTCAGAGTGGTCATCTCTGCATAACTCAAAACAGTGGTGGCCACTGTTTTGAGTTCTGTTAATAAGTCACTTCCTTCATTTTTTCCAGCCTAGGAATTTTAACAGTTCTGCTCTATAGTAATATCTCCTGAGGTTTTATTATATCTTACCTGCACATTAGTAAATAATTCCTTTATTAAACCCTATTTGAATTTCTCTCTCTCTCTTTTTTGGAAGAGATAAGATATATTGATGAGCTTGCTAAGTGGGGTCGGGGCAGTGGAAACATTCAGGAGTACAAAGGTCGCCATTTGTCAAGGGGACGGCTGTTTGGGATGTACTTTACCTTGAAGCCATCAGGAATGAGGCACTTCTCAGCCACCATGTATTCAAATTCATCTGCCTTGGGCTTGGTGAAGCCCATTCCTTGGAGATATGGATCTTCTGGTGCCCAGGAAACTTGAACTTGCATAGGGCCTCAATCACATGCTCCTTGTTCTGCAGCTTGGTGCGGATAGACATAACCTATCCAATGTGAACCCTTGCCACTGTGCCTTGGGGCTTCCTAAAGGCACCCCACATGCTGGTCTGGAGCCTGGATTGCAGGTAGCAAGCAGTCAGATACACGAACATCCCCTGAAAGCAATGTCGTCAAGGTCCCTTGGGGCAGCCCATACAAGCAATAGGCTGTGTACACTACATAGGAGGTTGCTGTCTGCAACCACTGTACACTGGGCACCCACCAGCAAAGACACCCAGTTGGCTTAATTGACGGCGACTGAAGTTTTCTCTCTCAAATGTCTATTGTATTTCCTCCTGGGGCTGTAATATATCTCTTTTTGTTTTCTCATACTTTATGTTGCTACATTCCTCTTCCAATTTCTTTAACTATAGTCCTTACTTAGGGTCTGTTACAAAAAGAGTCTGTTACTAGAATTTCAACTATTACTTATACAACAATAAAAAGCAAATCCATAGCTTTAGCTCAACTTTCTTATTTCAGCTTCAACTCTGCTTTTACATCTGCCTACTGAACCACTTAATAGTTTTCATTTCCAAAAGTATAATTTGTTCCCTATTATCCCAGCCTGTGTGCCTCTTATTGTCTCCCTAACTTAACTCTAAACAATGTTAGGCATAAGAGTCCTCTTATCATGAGCAAAAGAGTCCATTATATTCAGAGTAATGAAATTTTAGTTTTAATTTTATTTATGTTTTAACTAATTAAATATATTGGTACATTTAATTTATTTTTATTAAGTTTATTGATACAATTGGAAAACATAATGATCACATTCATCATAGATAATGTGTACTTATACATGATGTATCCTGGTTCCTCTTTTCTTTTTCAAACACCTCTCATCCCTTCAACCCCTTTTTACTCCTTATTAACAAAGCTTTGTTTCTATTTTATCCTTCTCTTATTCTTTTTTCTCTTTTCCATTTGTTTCTTCTCCCTTCTCCCTAATTCTCCTTTCCTTTGACAAATTTCTTCCTATTTTACAATATCTGTTATACTCTCTATTTAATCTTTTGGTTTCTCACACCAAAGAAACAATGCAACATTTACACATGCATGTTTGATTTATTGCATTTAAGAGTAAGATCTAAAGGTGCATCCATTTACCAAGGATTGTCTCAAGTTTATCCTTCTTTATGGCTGAGGAGTACTCTATTGTTCTAAAAAGCACATTTTTATCCATTCTTTAGTTGGTTGGAATTTAGGTTGTTTCCAATATTTAGCTGTTACAAATTGTGATGCTATAAACATGGGTGCACATATATTATTGTGGTATGATTTTTAAATTTTTCCAGGAAGATACTCAGAAGAAACATCTGGGTCAGCTGGAACTTCTAGTCCTAGTTCTTTGAGGAATCACTACACTAATTTCCACAGCGGTTACAATAGTCTATATTACCAGCAATAGTAGACAATGGTTCCTTTTCCCCCATACTCCCACTAGCATTTACCGTAAGTTTATTTCTCGATAATTGCCATTCTTTCTGGAGTGAGCTGGAATCACAGCATTGTTTTAATTTGCATTTCTCAAATGATTGGTGATGTTGAAAATTTTTTCATGTATTTATTTGCTATTTGTATTTTTTTTCAGTTGAGAAGTGTTTTTTCCTTTAGGATGCCCATTTTTAGATTGGGTCTTCAAATTTGGGAGGGCTCTGATTTTTTTCAACTCTTTATATGTTCTGGATATTACTCAAAGGATATAGAAGGTCTATACATTGAAAATTATAGTTCTCAGAAAAATGAAATCAAAGGGACATCAGAAAATGGAGAGATATCCTTTGCTCATGAGGAAGAAGAATCAATCTAGTAAAAATGGCCATGTTCCCAAAATTGCTATATATATTAAATAAAATACGGATCAAAATGCCATTAGCATGCCTCACAGAACTTGAGAAAATAATCCTAAAATTCATTTTCAACCAGAAGAGACCTAGAATAGCAAAAACAACTCCAGGCCAGAAAGCAGGAAACACCATAATACTTGACTCAAAATTATACACAAAGCCACTGTAATAAAAACAGCATGATATTGGCAAAAAACCAGACTTGAGATGCAGAAATAACTCCAAACACACTCAGCCACCTTATCTTTGATAAAGTGACAAATGCTCTCACTGGAAAGAAGATAGTTTCTTTAAGAATTGTCAATGGAAAACTGCTTACGACTAAAATTAGACACATGTCTCTCACCATGTGCTATATACTAAAATAAATGGATCAAAGATCTAAATATAAAAACAGAAAAATAAATTGCCTGGATGCTATTATAGGGAGAACACTTGAAGATAGAAGTGTAGGTAGAGATTTCATGGAAAAAAGCCCAGTAGCATGAAAAACACTATGAAGAATCAACAACTAGGCGCTCATTCTACTAAAAAGAAATCACCAACAGAGTGAAAACACAATTGAGAAAGTGGGAAAAAATTTTAACTAGTTGTCCCTCAGGCAAAGGACTAATACTGTTACATTTTAGATATACATGATGATCACATTCATCACAACGAATTTTTATCTGTACATGATGTATCTTGTTTCTATTTTTCCCCATTCCCTTTTGTTTGCTTCACCTCCAATCCCATCCTTATTTACAAAAGCTTTCCTTATATTTCTTCCTGCTTTTCTCATTTTATTTTCTTTTCCCACTCCACTCTCCCTAACTCCCTTTCCAATTTGAGCATTTTGTTTCCTATTTCACAATATCTGTTATGCATTTTGGTCCTTATTTATACTTTTGGTTTTTCACCCAAGATAAACAATGCTATACTTATAAATATGTGTCCTATTTATTTCACTTAAGAGTAGGTCTCAATATCCACCCGTTTACTTAGAAATGTCTCGTTTATCCTTTTTATGGCTGAGTGGTACTCCACTGTGTAAAAAAACTTTATCAATTCATCAGCTGATGAGCATTTGAACCGCTTTTAAGACTTAGCTATTACAAGTGCTGGAGATTTAGCTCAGCGGCATAAGGGCATTCCTGGCAAGTGCAAGGTCGTGAGTTCAATCCCTGGTACTGGAAAGAAATAAAAACAAAAAACAAACAAAAGAAGAATAAAATAAAATCTTAAAAAAGATATAGCTATTACAAACTGCACTGTTGTAAATATGGGTATGTGTAGATCAATGTGGTTTGATGCTTTTAATTCTTTCAGGAAGACACTGAGAAGGGGAATTCTGGATCAAAAGGAACCTCTAGTTTCAGTTTTTTGAGGAATCTCCACATTGATTTTCACAGTTGTTGCACCAGTCTACACTCCCACTAGCAGTGGAAAAGTGTTTCTTTTACTCCACAGCTCCACTAGCATTTGTTGTTGGCTGAGTTGTTCACAACAGACATGTTTCCAGAATTCTATGAAATTTCAGCATTGTTTTAATTTTCATGTCCTGAATGGCTAGTGTTGCTGAACATTTTTTAAAATATATTTATCATTTGACCTTCTTTTTCTGAGAAATGTGTGTTCATTTCAGATGCCCATTTTTGGATTAAGTGTTTAGATTCAGGGATATGATTTCAATGAAATTGGGGTTTTAATTAAAAACCTACCAAAAAAAGCCCAGGGTCTGATGGATTCACTGCTGAATTCTACAAGAAATTTAGAGATGATCTAATGTCACTTCAATCTCTTTAATGAAACTGAAAGGGAAATAATATTGCAAAGACATTCCTGGAAGCAAGTATTACACTGATGCCAAAACAGCAGAAACATCCAACCAAAAAAGAGAACTACAGACTACTCTCCATAATCTGTATAGAGACAAAAATCATCAATAAGACACTGGCAAACAGAATGCAGCAAATCATCAAGAAGAGTATACACTATGACCAAGTAGAATTCATCGCAGGGATGCAGGGATAGTTCAGCATACAAATCAATAAATGTAATACACCATATCAATAGAGTCAAGGAAAAAAATTCACATGATTCTCTCAATAGATGTGAAATAATCACTTGACAAAGTCAAATACCCCATTCTTGAAAGATATTTGGAATAGAGGGATCTTTATCCAATCTGATAAAGGCCATTTATGACAAACCAACAACCAATATCATACTAAATGAACAAAAAAATGCAAGCTTTCATTGTAAAATCAGGAACAAGACAAGGATGTACACTATCATCACTGCTACACAATGTAGTTCTGGAAACATTAACCAGAGAAATCACATAAGAGAAAGAATGAAAACGAATAAAGACAATGAAAGAAGTTAAAACTTCATTATTTACAGACAATATGACAGTTTACATAAAAGACCTCAAAAACTCCATCAAAAGACTTGTAAATTTAATAACCAAATTCAGTAGTTGTCTTGGCTACTTTTCTCTCATTGCTGGTACAAAATATCCAACACCCAAAATTAAGGAAGGAAAAGTTTATTTAGCTCATGTCAGGAAAAGGGCAAAGACTCTCTCTTACTATTTCCTTACTACTTCCTGAATGGGGACATCGTGTTGGAGTTCAGATGGGTTGATGTGATAACAGTTGATGGCCATGTATAAGCTGGTACCAGGTGTTTCATCCAGGAAAACTTTATCATTGGTGAGCACTCATCTCCTAGATTGGAGAAATAAAAATACGAGGTGCTCTGAGGAGGCAAGCCACTATCATGTTTAAAGGACCCAAGAAAGGTAGAAGGAAAGGTGCCCGTGAACCAAATGTGTCATTCCATCAGGACGTTGGTGAGGAAGAATCTGAAAAATAAGCATGGATTTGGGAGGGGTGAAGTCATGGGAGGCAATTATTTACCCTTCTGAAAGGGTAAAAGTACAAGTATAGGTAGGACTTGTCTTTGGTCCAGGAGTTGAGCTGGAGAGAATGGGAAGTATGAGAAATGTAAGACCTGACAGTTGAATTATATTTGGGAAATTACACACTATGAGTGAGAAGGGCTGTGGCTGTGTCACTATAAGTGAGAGGAGATCCTAGACCTGTGGGGGGTCTCATATAAGGGTTTAGGAACCAAATAGGATAACAAAACATAACCTGGCCTGAAAACTGTAGCTGTGGGGCCTGGTGAGATGGAGACAAGAGATAAGAGATGACATGACCACTCAGGATGTTTACAGTCAGGAGAGTTAGGGTTAGGAGGACACCACTTAGCCTGAGTGATGTGGAACCAGGATGGCAGTTCAGTGGCCTTGACCACCTGTTGGAGTTCTGAGGAAGACCAGGTAAGGGGTGACTCCAGTTTGACTGTAGTCTTGTTGAGAGATCTGACAAATAAAGACTGGACCATTATCTAACTGGATAC